CACTGAGGCGTGCAAACACTGACACCATTGAAGCGGTGCAAAAACATTTAGCCCGCTTTAAAGTGTCATGCACACACACCTCCCGTTTCATCTACACATGGCTCAAGATAGAATTAACATATAGGAAAAGGCAAAACCTAAGTTTTGGCCCGAGTCTACAGAATAACCAATTTCTGAAACTTTACCTCGAATACCAATTTTAGCAGCTTTAAGGCACCCAAATGTTTTAACAGTTGGAGGCATTTCAAATTCACTGAAATGTTTTGAATTGTTCTTAACTAGCAGTGGGGGTGAGCACTCAGCCCAGCATGCCTTGCAGTAGCCAAACCGGGGGGTGGAAATGAAGGATTTGCGGATCCAGGAGTGGGTGACCTATGGCTAGGGGTATTTTCACTTTTCTGCTTTTTTCTCCTGAACACAAGTTCAATGAAAATCAACAGCATGCTGAACCTTAGACATTATGAATTAAGACCTTAGACTTTGGGTGCCTGAAAGGGGGTGGGTACTTGGACCTACATGTTGGGTTCCCAGGGGCTGTGGGGCACGATGAGGGGCCAGGGCTGTAGGGAGTAAGGGTGCATCCTTGAACAGGGGCTGCTTTCTGGTAAAAAACACATTTCAAACCGAACATCCAGTTTATGCACTTGACCTACTCCCATTAATAGCTGAAGGCTGTCTTCCTAGTTTGTTCTTTGCAAGGGGGCGGGGGGGGGTGTCAGACGGCAGAGGTGGCAGAAATGCTCATTCCATTTAACATACGACTTTTCGTTTGGGACTTGCCATTCATTTATGAGTTCTGAAAGTGGTTTCTACATGTACAGATTGCTATGAATAGGTCTCTACAAGTGTCTGCCTCTATCTGGTTTGGCAAGGAGAGCAGAAGATTGCAGATTCTTCTGTATTTGGATTTTAGAAATTACTCCATTACAGGTGGATTAGCATGTTGGAGGGATCTTGTGCTATTTTTTAATCTCCAAAGACAATGAGTCTGAAGCAGGTCTATGTTGTACTCATAGATCTTAAATCTGAAACCAGAAGAATTGGCCACTAAGGTTTTCTAGAGCAGCAAGTGATAAAAACAAGCTGTAGATGGCCCTGAAAAAATGCCTGCCTGCTTCATTGCTTTCTCTTTTAAGCTGGTTAGCACTCTTGAATATTTATGGAGGCAGCATCTGAGGAATGGAGAGACCCTTCTTGCTTTTCAGATCAAGCTTATTTTTCCCGGCAGGAAGAGAACCTATGGGCTGAGAGCTAGACACACAACTGCCTTTACCTTGGAAAGAGTTTCAGGTGTAAGATGCCTAAATATGCTGCAGAATTGGAAAGGGGCAATGAGCCAGGCCCAGAGCTTTGATGCCATGTCAGTACAAGATAAAAGCTCTTCTTCAGGTGAGAACATAAAGGAGAAAGGTTTTTAAACCTCATCTTTCATAGCCTACTTGCAATTTTCTTCATAAGGCAACAATTCATATCCTTAATGAGCAAAATATAATCTCAAGAGTCTTCAGCTCTTCAGGAAACCTTGTTTCTGCTTGAGATTTCCTATGGCAAAGTTGTGCCTAGCACAGCAGGAAAAAGGCTCTGACTTGAAGCCTCAAGCCTCAGCCTTAATGGCTTGTAGCAGCAGAGCCTTATTTCACTTCTGATGGTTCTGAAAAACAGTGGCGATTCCTCAGCTAAGAGGAGACAGAACAAAGCAAAGCTGAAGTCAAGTGCCCACACTGAACAAAAACAACATGTAAAAAAAAGTTATATAAAAGTAGCCATTAGGAGAAGCTGAACTACTGATTATTCTGTTCCTGGAAGTTGAAATTCTGGTACCCTAAACTGAAGGGCCAGGCTTTAAGGAGAATTTTAACCCCTCTACACTGTACAGGAGAGAGCAAGAGAGACAATGTTAATTTGTTATGAAAAGAGATTGTGAAGCAGAACTCTAAGATATTTAACACACCTATTTTTGAACATTTTAATCTCTTATTTAGATGATGTTCAGAGCATGACACTAAGAGAGAATGCTAACACATTTCAATGAAGTATTGCTTATATTAATCTCAAATACCTCAGAGGAAACTGAATTCTAGGAAACTGGGGTGGGTTTTTTTGCTTTCTAAGAATGATACTGTTCAATGTGATAAAATACAAACCATGTTGCTATGAAACTTAAATGAAATATTTAGAATCAGCATCGATAGACAAAGTATATTTATAACATTCTTGGAAATGGTTGTTTTACTTTAGAAGTAAACATGCCCTCAAAATGCACACACATCTAACGAGATCTCAAGTATTAAGTAGGAAAGTGTGGTTCTCTAGCATCATGATCAATTCAACACTTGCAAAGGCAACAGCCCAGTATTATAATGCTTGTACCAAGGGCACTTTTTCAAATTGTGATTTTCAAAGGAAAAGTAATTTAATGAATGTGATCTTTGGTAGAATGAAAACAGCTTTCATTAAAACAACATAAAAATTTCCCCTGAGGACCTTTAAAGGCTTCCTTATCTTAATAAACGTATTTAAATATGAATGAAAAATTTGTTTGGAATCCTAAAATTATGCAGACTTTTTTTTTTTACTATAATTTCCTCTGTCCTTCCTAGTTATCTTACTTCTTAAAGAGTAGTATTTCTCCATTCACTGGGCACATATACAATGAATTAATGTGCCATAATTCCAGTGCGTTAAGTTTAGTACCTATATAACATTGGCATGTCTTTTAGGTGACACTGATGTGCAGTAGACGAATTCTACTCTGCATTAGCATGGCTTTAGCCATGATGTGCCATCATGCAGTTGAGTTAATCTACTGCACTTTTAGTGTCTCGTGTAGATGCACTCACTGACATCCACTTTCACAATCTCACCCTCTGACTTCTCTACTCACTTCTAAATCATACTGATATTTTAACACGACTGAACTCAAGACTGTTAACTCTCAATTCTCCTATCTATTTTCAAGCCTGCCTTTCACTTGTTCTGAGAGAAGTTTAACAAGCTCAGTCACTCAATACTCTCCCTCTTATTCCACTTTCCATCATATACTGATATTCATTCAACATCTGTTATCTTGTGTCCAGGATGCAAAAGTAACTGCCAATCCAATCCTTTACCTCGGAGCTCCTTGTGGATGGTCTCATTAACTTAACATGGGAAATCTAATGATTTCCCTGCCAGAAATCCAATTGTCATCTTTGCCTCAGCTTTCCCTGTAACACCCAGATCTTGCCATTTCCTACTATGCAGCATTCTCAAGATTCTCCTTTCTCTTGTTGTCACATCATCAGAAACTGACCCTGACTCTGACTCTGACTTTGCTTCCTGACAACTGAAGCCTATAGGGCTGTTTTTTGCTGTCTATGAAGTGTCTACTACAAGAGAGCTTCAAGCAACTACTGCAATGCAAATAATAAAGGATTGATTTCCATATAAGATGATTACAGATGAACAAAGGAGAGATTTAAACAGATTATTGGAAAAATCTTAAGATTCATTAATTCCTGGATACTTCCAGGTCAAATAGTGAAAGCCCAATTCCATGAGTCCAACTTACTGTCAGGCAAAAACCAAGATATGGGAGGTTGGGGCCTGACATTAAAAGCAGTGGTTCTCAACCTTCTAGGACTCAAGGCAACCCTCTCACTGAACTCCAGTCATCCTTCATTGGACTTCAGGTGCCCCGATAACTTTTGTGAATTCAGTGGCACCCAATTTCAAAAATTAGTTTATGTATTACAGTGCTTACCTCCTTCCAGAGAGGCTGGGCAGTGGGGAAATCATCCAGGAAGGGGCAAGACTTAGCTTGTGCTTATCTGCTTATCTCTTCATAGCTCATGGCACCCTTCAAAGTACCTGGAAGCACCCTAGGATACTGCAGCACCCTGGCTGAGAATCACTGTACTGAAGTGCCATGAGCTAGCAATGTCAAGCAGCAAGGATTCAAACTACAGTCCTAAATCAGGAGGGAAATCTGGTAAGTCTTGGAAATACCTGAAGGGTGATTATAGAGAGCATGCAGATGAAGTGTTCTCTGTGGCCATAGGGGACAGGACTGCTAGCAATAGCTTCAAGTTGCAACAAAGGAAAGGAGATGAAGAGGAACTTTCTGATTGAGGGTGGTCAAGCACTGGAACAAGTTACCTACAAAAGCAGTGGAATCTCCATCCCCAGAAATTTTCATAAGTAGACAGGACAGACACTTAGCTGGGATGATTAAATCGGGGCAAATCCCACCCTCAGCAAGGGGCTAGACTAGATGACCTTGCGAGGTCCCTCCTAGCCCTAACTTCCTATGACCAAGAGCACGCGAGTCAGAAGGCTGACATCTGTAAGGGACTGGGACATAGGTGATCACTAAGATGTAGCCACAAGGCAGAGAAGTTAGGAGCAGGAAGCAGGGATCCAGACCAGAGTCACTAGGCAACAGGTCCAGAGCAGGCAGCTGTCTGCAAGGGTAATCATTGGACTAAAGCCATGATCCAAGCATCTGGCCTGGAGTCAGGAGAAAGTAGCTGGCTGTCAGGATTCAAGCTGGAGCTAGGAGCCAGGATTAAGATAAGGCAAATTCTGTTGAGTAGGCAGACAGGTAATGAGTATGTAAGCAGCCATGTCCTCCCAGGTAAATGGGACCAGCTGGAGGTCATTAGGTGACTGACAGCCAGGCCCATTCCTGTGAGCAGGGGCACTGGAGGCTAAGTAACCTGCCTGATTTCCTGACTCCTGAGTCTGCCAGTACAAGAAATACAGCAGGAAAAACATTTGTGCACTGGGGAGGGTATGAACTGAGACAGAGATGAGATTTTCCCATCTTGAATCTTACAATGCTATTTCTAGGCCAATTTATTTGTAGAAAAATACTTCAAGTGTGCAAGAACAACAATAATTTTAACTGTTTAATCTGTTCTTCAAGTAAAAAATATTTGTCCATGGAAGGTGAAGGCTGCCGATTCTTTAGAAAGGTCTTTTGTATTATTTCAATATGGGGGAAAGATAGGCTTACTCACTCTTCGTGTTCTTTCCACATCTCCACATGGCAATCTTTTCACAAAATCAATACCAGTTAGTGGTGTCCCCGTTGGAGGCAGTAGAATGGAGGCATCCATCATCAGGTACTCTACATTCATGGGTTTAATCTGTAGAAATAATTTGTTTAACATGCAATATGGCAATCAAGTTGACACTTTTACTTTCAAATACAACTTCTACTTCTAATACAAACTACAAAACCAGCATATAGAGTATTTCAAGAACCCCCAATATGGTGCATCGTTTAAGTCAAAGTCTAAACAGTGGCAATCTTAATTTGCTCAATTGTCAAGATAAAAAAAACTTAGATTAACAGAATCCCAAACTCCATATATTTACAATTTAATTTCTGGGTACCCTGGAATACACTGATAGTATGTCAAAGAGTTCTGAAGAAAAGGAAGCAGGCATTGTACTGGACAACACAAGGTAGTCAAAAAATGACTGCAAGTAGTTCTATTGATTTTGTGATGGCTTGCTCTAGATGTGGCAAAACAAACCAGAGCTGACAGATGTAAGGATTTAAGCACTATAATCCACTGTCTTCCCAAAATAAATTCTCTAGAAATCCACACCCTCCCTCATTGCAAACAAAGAGCTGACCTGGCTTAGAATTACATCTTTAGAAGTAATACATCTTAGGAATCTAGACTAATGACACTTGGGCCTGACTTCCTCAGAAACTAGATGAATGGTTAAGGTTGACCAGAGAGAGAGAGAGAGAGAGAGAGAGAGAGAGAGTCATGACAACATATACAAAGTCACGTGAATTATAATAAATACATTCCACTTCAGTACAAAAACCTATGGTGCTTTGATAACTTTTTTTTGTTTTTTTGCAAACAGCCACAATCTGAGTATTGCCAAGATGCACACCTAAGACTAAAGTTGCTCAGCAAATAAGCCTGGTGGATTTAACACCACAAGACAAATACAGAATTCTAAATTAATGATAATGCTATTGTGAATGTGAAACCATAAGCAATGCAAAGTCCTGATAAGATGAACTAGATACCCTGATGATAAAAAGGGAACACCAAGCTGATCATGCTCGTCTTACTGATAAAAGCAACCAGAGTTCAAAAGAAAGAAGCTAATAGTTTCTATGGTTCTGACTTGACAAGTTGAAGTAGAGAAATGGTACCACAGTACTCAAGATACTGGTTCAGTCTCTATTTGAAATCCTATCTGCTGAGGTTAATGCAATGGCAGCTTTTTACTTCTCTTAGCCCAGTCACACACAGGGCAAACTGGATTCAGTTCCTCTTTCCACTTAAAAGGAATTGTTTACCACGTACAAATCATTTACATATGTGCAATCCCATTAAAGGCAGAGTTGCACAAACTCATAAAACCTCAACAGCCTCCATTACAAAAGATTGTACTTCCTCAGAGAGAACAGTTTTACTGTGATGTAGCAGCCAAGATGTTTCCAAGCACGCTTCAGTCACCTGCTGCTCCTCCTCCTGTGCTCCAAACCTGGAAGTGTACCAGTGAGATAACTCTGAACAGAAGGATGATCCTAGAGTGGCCTCATTCCACTAATGAGAATCAAGCAGTGCCAACAAAATCAATAGGATTACATCCAGTACTGATGGGAGAGAAGAATCTGGCTCTCAGATTGCATTTGAAAGAATTAAAAAAAAAAAGTGTAGTTGTGTACTCAGCTCATGACATGAAATTAGAGAAGTAAATAACAGAAACACCCAGCACTGCTTTTTGTTTGTTTTTAACATACAAATTAGAACCACATTACTGGCTTTAGAGATTTACATTTCAGATTAGTTAGGTCAATATTCCATAGAACAGACTTCTTTCTAAGGTTCGTCCTGAAAGTCTCCCCCACCCCTTCTGCAACAAAAACTGAAATTCTACATTTTAAAATACAAATTATCAAATTGTTTAGCCCCCTGCTACTAACAGGGAAAAATATTAGTGATCATAGTCAAAGATGCCTGGAGCACTGTTTTAACAACACAAAAAGACAATGCAGCTATTTAAGTAATATTAACTATGTTAAATTACTTAAATATCAATTCTCTCCAAAATCAGGTTTGCACTTTAAGAGGACTTTCTCCTCTAGCCAATGTTAAGCATAGTAACATCAGTTCCCATTAATGCTATTGCTCAGATGATAATTACAGATGATTTGATTAACTCATGGGCAAGTTGGTCAAGATTCTGGAGCTGGCTTTACATAAGAAGTATAACAGGACGGAACAATCCCTTGCAGCAGTACAGGCTGGGGACTGACTGGCTGGCCAGGAGCAGTGCAGAAGAGGACCTAGGGTTACAGTGGACAATAAGCCGAATATGAGACAACAGTGTGCCCTCATTGCAAAGAAGACTGCATTGGTAGGTGCACTGACAGCAGGTCAAGGGAAGCGATCATCAGGGATCCTGGTTTTCTCTGATTTAAAACAATCCCCAATTTTCAGTTAAAAAAAAAAAAGTAACCCCAAATTCACATTTTTCCATGATTTAAATGAAATACCCAGTTTCATTTATAGTGCTTACACTGGGTGTTTCATTTAAATCATGGAAAAAATGTGGATTTGGGGTTACTTTTTTTTTTTAAAGTCAAAATTGGGGATTATTTTAAATCAGAAAAAAAACAGCATCCCTGGTGATTATTCCCTTGTATTCAGCACTGGTGAGGCCATACGTGGAGTACTGTGTTCAGTTTTGGGCCCCCTACTGCAGAAAAGAAGTGGACAAATTGGAGAGAGTCCAGCAGAGGGCAATGAAAATGGTTTAGGGGCTGGGAAACATGATTTATGAGGAGAGGCTGCAGGGACTAGGCTTATTTAAATCTGAAGGGGGATTTGATAGCAGCCTTTAACTACTAGAAGGGTGGCTCTAAAGAGGATGGTGCTAGACTGTTGTCATCAGTGACAGATGACAGAACAAGGTCTCAAGTTGCAGCAAGGGAAGGTTAGGTTACATATTAGGAAGAATTTTCTCACTAAGAGGGTAGTAAAACACTGGAACAGGTTACCTAGGGAGGTGGTGGAATCTCCATCCTTGGAGGTTTTCAAGACCCAGCTAGACAAAGCTTTGGCTGGGATGATCTATTTGGGGATGGTCCTGCTCTGAGCAGGGGGTTGGACTACATGACCTCCTGAGGTCCCTCCCAACCCTAACTTTCTATGATTCTAACACTTAAAGAAGAGATGTACCCGTTTAGGTGCTGTTTACTCATTATGATTCCATTCCCTATTCAAGGAGAGAAGTACTTACCCAAACTGGAATCCTGCATTGAAAGTAGAGTTATTGGTTATTTATTCCTACTTTATATATTCCTAAGAAGAGGAAAGTAGGATGTGAAAAATCCTTCTACTTGTTTCTACAGTTAAGCAGTGCCACAGTTCCTAAGGGATAAGAGGTAATCTCCATATATGATTTTTCATATAATACCTGGGGGGAAGGGGAGGGTTAATGAAATCCTGTCAATTTTTAGGTAGAGGAGCTACATATACACACGCACAGTATTGAGAGCAAACAAAAACACACAACTAAAGACAAATGCATTCATTTATTCCAATTCAAGAAACAAACACATCACTGTTTCCGAGTTACTTACTGTCATACTCCGGTACTCATCTTCAAACATATCTAGAAAAATTTCTTCTCCCTTTAAAAAAAAATGAAATATTTATTTCTCATAAAAATGTATGTATTATGAACACTTGATGATGCCACCTATTTTTCTTTACACATTTATCATAGGCCACTAAGAAATTGAAAACCAAAAAAGAAATCCTGTATCATCTTTCAGTGATTCTTAAAACTCTCCTTAGCTAATACAGGGATAAAAGTGCAGTGTTCGTTAATCATTTTGGAATATTTAACATGACATCATAGTTCATTACTTAGGAGTTAAGATGTCCAAAATGCTCATATTTCAATCCTCATCTTTTACTTGCACTACACCGAAAGGAACGAAGTGTTGAAAATGTGTTGTTTTGGGTACAGACAGATTTAACAAATATATTGTTATCAAATAAGATAGGGTATGAACTGTTACCATGCAACTGTTATGGCTGCATGCTATCTTCAGCAGGGGGGGGGGGCAGCTCATCTTCAAGCAGCGGGGAGAGGAGCTCACACCATAGCTCCATGCCCTCATTTTAAGGATTTGGAATGATAAGGAAATCCCAGATGATCTCAGGGACATCATGATCGTGACAATTTTCAAGAAAGGAAACAAGTCTGAGTGAAAATCAGAGAGATTGCCTTGCTGTCTACCACAGGAAAGATCATTGCAAGAACCCTCCTGAACCATCCCCTTCCCCTTGGTAAAGAACTCCTCCCAAAATCTCTGTGGGTTTAGGGCATCAAGAGGCACAACTGACATGATCTTCACAGCTCACCAGCTGCAGGGAAAAATCCAGGAACACAAACCACTCTACATGGTTTTCTTTGACCTCTTGAAAGACTTCGAAAAGTGCTGCGGAGGAGCTTTCTGAAGTATAGATGCCACAGAAATAATCGTCATTCTTTTCCTGCTCCAGGACGGTATGTGAGCAGTGGTTCTCAGTAACAAATCTGTCACATCCCTTTGAGGTTAAGATGGGAGTTAAGCAAGGCTGTGTCATCACTCCAATGCTCTTCTCAATATTTCTTACCATGATGCTACACCTGACCACCAACAAACTTCCAGTCAGAGTGGAGCTGAACTACTAAATGAAATGGTGAACTGTTTAAATTCAGCTGACTCAAAGCCAAAACCAAGTTCACTCCAACTTCAAATCATCAAGCTCCAGTTTGCTGATGATGCTGTAGCACGTGCTCATTTGGAAGCAGACATTCAGGCAGTTGTCAACATCTTTACCAAGACATACAAGAAAATGGGACCAATGCTTAACGTTCAGAAGACTAAAGGTCCTCCATCAACAGTAATTCAGATTCACAGTGAGACTGGAGAACACCAAGTACTTCCCATACCACAGAAACCATGTCTCTCGGAAGGCTGACATCAACGAAGAAATCCAACATCGCCTTAAATGCAGAAGTGCAACCTTTGGACAATTGAAGAAACAGGTGTTCAAAGATCACAACATCAGATCTGAAACCAAGCTCATGGTTTATCAAGCAGTTGTGATCTCCACCTTACTGTACTGAGCTGAGACTAACAACATACAGGAGATCCCACAAGTCATTACAGAAGTACCACCAAACTCTGTCTGAAGAAGATCCTTCAAACCCAGTGCGAAGATAGACGCGCCAACATTAGTGTCCTCTTGCAAGCAAATACCACAAGTATTGAGGCAAGGATCATCCAATATCAACTTTGCTGGGCTGGCCATGTCATCTGGATGTCCAACTCCAGACTCTCAAGGCATGTTTTATTCTCTCAGCTCAGTAAGGATGTATGCTCAAGAGGAGGGCAGAGAAAGCACTTCAAGAGTGTACTCAAGGCCAACTTGAAAAAATGCAACACAGACATTAACTCATGGGAGACTACTGCTCAGGACTGCCCCAAATGGAGGAAGGGTCTGCTGAAAGGATCTCAGTACTTTGAAACCTTATGACAACACAAGAAGGTGAAAGAGCTGGAGTGGAATAAACAGTGTGTCGTGAACCAAATCAAGAATATGGAAGCACCCACCCTGTATAGAAAAGTGTGCCCGACTTGCAGCAGAATCTGTTGATCCTGTATTGGCCTTGTAAGGCATCTTCAGACCCACATATAAGACAACCATGGAAGACAATCAATCAATCTCAACCGCAAGGGACTGCTGAAGATGACAACCTTTGCACACTCCTATAGTAATGCAAGCATAGCAAGTCTGTTGTAATGTTAATTACATGCAATGTTAATTGAACAAAACAGGGGTAAAGTTAATGATACAGCTCACTAGCATGGCCTCAGGAGCATGCAGAGGTAACAGTTTCATCATGACAGCCGATGTGTGGCTTGGAGTAGGAACTCCTCCTTCCCTATTAAAGTGGTTAAAAGCTATGCCTGTGTACAGCCTTAAATGGAGAAAGAAGAAATATTTGAGACGCTAAGGGGGAAAACGAATGCTGAGCAAATAGTGCCATAAATAACCTTGTGTCTGGTTAATTCTGAAAGTCTGATAAGTGAGGTTTTATGTTTCAGATGTGGGTCAATGAAACAGGAGATAAATGCAAACCCTATGTGATATAGACACGTACTTTGATGTCTCACCTGAATTTTAGCCTATAATCCAAGTCCAAGCTTCTGAACCATTTCCAAGAAACACCTGCCAGTGTAATAATTCCTTCTGTATCACAAATATGGAGTTGCTCCCTCACCTCAAAACTCATGCAGTCTGGTGGCTCAATATGGACAAAACTCTTTAACCCCCAGTATTAAATAGTATCTTTCTTTACATGTTTTATATAAGCACAGAAAACAGAATATATATTTTTACTTACATATGCCCACACACAGGAAGGGAGAAAAGAAAGGAGGGAGGAGGATATTCTACACCACATTGGAAGACGGGATATTTATAGTAAGACTATTATTTTTATCCTTATTTATAAATATGTACCTTATAGAAACGCCGAAGGAGATGAACGCTTTCTTCTCTGGCCCCCTAAGAGGAGTGCATAAACATGGAACATCAGTTATGTTCCAATTAAATAATAAATTTACTGTCAATCAACCTAAAACATTCAAAAGAAAGCTTGTCCAGTAAATAGGTTTTAACACCACAGCCCACAACCTGCAGTTACAAAATCCTTTTCATCTGAGCAATCTTAATTTCATATCAATTTATCACTTGGGTTTAAAGACTACTTAGATGCATACACTTTGGGCCCATGGAGTGCACAAAATAAAGCAACAGCAGAACAGAGAATTTCAGGTTCTAACTTCTAATTCTTCAATTTAATTATACAAGTCTACCTAAAGGAAACTGGTTTAGTAGTTAAACTTAACAGAACAACTATTTACAGTTTTATCTCATGTCCAGGTGTTATGATAACCACCCTTAAGTATTGGTCTTGTAAGCATCAAACACTGAGAACTCTTCCTTAAGAAAGACAACCTAGTAACCATTTACCAGTCCAAGTATACAATATACCTACCTCAAGGCAAGCAAGATGAACATCTTTTATAATACTGCCACTTTTAGATAATACCAGCTGCTTAAGTAACAGACAGCCAAGTTCTAATGTTGCCAAACGGATTTTTCCATCTAAAGAAAGAAAAATTATTAATTCCAACGTACAAGGTATTTATTCATTATCAAAAACTTTTCATGGGTTGCCTCCTTTCCCCCCACCCCTCGAACTGCCACATACCATATTAAACTGCACTCACCAGTGCCGAACAGTACCATACCATGTTTTCTTAATAAGCACATAGACACCAAAATTATAATCTTGCAAAGCAACCTATATCAAAAGATAATTTTTGTCTTTGGTGAAACCCACTCCACTAGAAGTAATCTGTTAAGGAAAACTGTCCTCTAGAGTGTAAAGCTACTAAAAGTCAAGTGTTTTGACTTGGAGCTAAGCCAGACTGCATCAAGTGATAGAAGTTTAAGAAGTCTGGAGAAGGGAGCCAGATGACTCCATTCCCTAGTTCTATTGTACGGCAGTAGCCTTTGGGACCCCAGTCACAGACCATGACCCCAGGGCTGTCTGGAAGGGGGTGGCGAATCAGGGCGACCGCCCCGGGCCCCATGGAGCCGGACAGAGTGGCCATGGCAACTCTGAGCCGCTGCCTTCACATCCGGCCACTTGCTAACCCTCCTCCCCCGTCACCAATCGTGGTGGCAGATTCTTCACATCCAGGGAACGCAAGATGCAAGTGGGGTCAGGGCCCCGCATGAGCTGATTTGCCCTGGGCCCCACACCCTGCTCAAGTCAGCTCTGCATGACCCCTCCCATGCTAGAGGCTGCACAAATACATAACAGACTTCCTTTACCTTGAGGAACTTATATACAGATGTATAAGAATGTGTGTGGATCCAGGCATATTGGATGAACAAGCAAAGACAACACTGGTCAGTGCAACAGTTTGCAGTGTGGGCATACCAGCTGACCAACTGTTGGCAACGTTTTTCTAGAATTTTAAGGAGAAATTGGAAGTAGGATAAGGAGTTTATGGTGTGTTCTTCCCATGAATGAGGATAACAGAGCAGAAGATAGGAGTGCTGGCTTGAAAAACTGATGAGTAAAAGCAGTACAGGTTGGCATCAATGGCTGAGCAGCTGTGAGTACTGATATCCAAATAACTTATGGAAAACAGGTAGGAGGAGGATAGCCTGTGAACGGCCTTAAAAGCAAGGCAACTGATGTTTGACACGATGGAAAGGCAACAGTGACAAGGGTAATGTAATGAGCTTGGAAAAATATTAATTAGAAATGCTGTTGCAAGACTAAGGGAGTCAAAACTACAATCTACAAATGCAAGATAAGGATTGGATAAGTCCACATGTTAGAACGAGGACCTCGTGTAATAAAGGTTTTGCTGAACAAAATGTATAAGATTCACACGCGGCCTCTATAGGGACAGCAGGGTCAAAGCAAACCCTCAGGCTGTGCATGACTCAGGGAAGATAGTGATTTTGTTCAGAATTGAGATTGTTTTTGGATTTTTTGGAAGCAATTGCTCAGTAGCTCTGCTGTGACCACGCTGATCTAAAAGTAGCAGCTTGCATTCATGAGCAGATGTCAGAAGAACCAAGACTTTAGTCTGTACAGAAGGAAATGGTTTTAGAACAGAGGTAAACCCGAGTCATGAACATAGACTCATATTTATGTGGTTAGTTATGATTAACTATAGGAAAGTAGATCTGGAAGGGACCTTGCAAAGTCCAGCCCCCTGATCAAGGCAAAATCATCCCCAACTAACCTATTCCAGGCCAAGTGTCTGTCCTACCTACTCTTGAAAATTTCCTGGAATGGAGATTTCACAACCTCACTAGGTAGCCTGTTCCAATGCTTGATCACCCTCATGGTAAGAAGGCTCTTCCAAACCTCCAACCTAACAATTTCCTCCGCTTCATCTTGAGGCCATTGCTCCTAGTCTGGTACCTTACAGCAACAGAGAAAAAGCTATCTCCTGCCTCTCTATACCCACCCTTCAGATATTTGAAAACTTATAAAATCTCCCCTTCTATCTTCTCTTCCCCAGACTAAGTAACCCTAGTACTTTCAGTCTTTCCCCATACATCATGCTCTCCAGATCTCTAATAATTTTCTTGTTCTCTGCTAGACTCTTTCCAATCTGTCCATAGGCTTCTTGAAGTGTGGGAGCCAAACCTAGACAGTACTCCAGCTGAGATCTCACCAGTGCCAAACAGAACAGCAGAATCACTTCCCTTGATTTGCAAGCTGTATGCCTGTTAATACAACCCAGAATGCTAATGGCCTTTTCTTGCAAGAAGAGAACACTATTGGCTCATATTCAGCTTATGGTCTACTATAACCCCTAGGTCTCTTCTCTGAAGTACTGAGTTCAGAGGCACATCTTCAATTACACAAAAGTTGTAGAGGGAGAAAGAATAGACCAAAAAAGATAAAACTAACTGAACCCTTCCCCATCATTCTCCAGGGCATCTGGAGGTGTCTTGGCAGGGGAAGGGGAAAATAAAATAGGGATGAAGCAATTCAAAATCCCTAAAGCAACATTACTGGACAAACTGTATTATATCATAAGCTCGAGAGAGTCCAGAGAAGGGCCACCCATATGATCAGAGACCTGCATGGTAAGCCATATGAGGAGAGGCTGAGGGATTTTGGACTCTTCAGCCTAAAGAAAAGAAGGCTGAGAGGGGACCTGATTGTGGCTTACTGCTATATCAGAGGCGTACATCAGGGGCTCGGTGAACAACTGTTCCCCAGGGCGCCTTGGGGGAAAACTAGAAACAACGGCCACAAACTCCTGGAAGATAGTTTCAGGCTAAACATTAGGAAAAACTTCTTTACAACTAGGTTGTCCAGATTATGGAACAAGCTCCCCTCAGAAGTGGTACAATCATCTAGCCTAGAGGTCTTCAAGAGAAGACTGGATGGTCACCTGGCTGGGGTCATATCTGACCCCAGATGTCTTTCCTGCTCATGCAGGGGTCTGGACCCAATGATCCTTCAGGGTCCCTTACAGCCCTATGATTCTATGACAGAATAGAAATACTTTTTATTTAAACAGAGGGGAAATAAAATATATCCCTTCCTTCTGCAAGCATATGCATTCTCAGAACATGTGGCTTGGCACAGCTTAAGGCCTTGGACAGATGTACTATTTGAAGTGCACTCTGAATTCAAAGCACTCCAAATTGGAGTGAAATTTGGAGCTGCAAGAAATCAAGGAAAGCAAGCATTGTCCTCATAGACGCTCACTTAAACACACAATTTTGAACCTAAAAGAAAATTTAAAAAAAAATTGTAAATTTGCAGCCAAACAAATGAAGGTCAATTTCCTAGGAATGGGCACAAGGTTGTGAAAATTTGTATGTGGAGTTAAGAGTTAATGAATACTTTGAGGAGACTATTGAGGCAGATTGAAATATTTCAGCACACTGATTTGCAAAATTAGATCCTACAGTCGATTACAAATGGAAGCTCCCTCTCTGGTCATTGCTTGCTGAATGATTTGCTTAGCAGCACAGTAGTATGACAGACCTTCCTGCTCCATCTTGAACACAGCATTAATTACTCAATAAAAATGCAGCGACTCCAATGGAAGACGATCATTTGTCTTGCACAGGCAAGATGTCCATGTTATCCAAGTAGTATGTGGTAGCTGGAAACTGTGGTAGCTAGAAACTGGGTAGCACCGAGTTCCTTCCCCAGAAGGATAAAGGACCTGATGGCACTTAGTACCCTTAACATTAAGGCTAATTTTTCATAGTTTATAGCTACACAGAAGTCAGTTGAAGTGATCAAAAACCCTCTACCTGGTTGAGCAGCATAATTCATTATCCTGATGAGCCTTTCTGCAAGCACATGGTTGTACGAGTTTCTCTCTTCAGCATGCTCTGTTGGAAGCTGAATTCTCTCCAGTTTCATTGGGTCAATTCCTTTTGGGGGAAGTAAGAAAAGCTGGTTATGACAAAGCATTATGAAATTGGAACAGTCACCTTGAAGAGGCAGAACAACACAACTGCTAGTATTACTGTTACTTCTGAATGCCTAGAGCTTAAGACATGGAAGCAACAAGAGACTGGACAAGGTATACCCTTACAGGCTGGGATTTTAGAAAGATCTTAAGGAATCTTGAACTCCATTGGAATATATTTGAATACCTAAATACCCTGGATTCCTCTAAAAATCCCAGACTCAAAACCTATTTGTATGCAAACTGAAAATAATTTTATCCCATATTTTAAAGGTGTAAAACTTGAAAACTGAACTTAAAGCACAATAAAACATTGAAGATGCCACTTGCTACCAGCTGATAAGTGTAGTAGTCATAAATGAAATCTAACTTAAGAACACTTGTAGAAAGAGGCAATTAGTTGTGTCAGTCTTTAGTTTGGCAGAAACTATAAAGTGGCACCCTGCCCTGCCTTCTGCTCAAGAACAATAGGAATGGGGTTTTTTTTTGGTTAGGTGATAAATTGCTTTAATCCTATCAACCAGCTATTTCACATTTTGGAGTTCTGATCAAAAGGCCTTCAAATCAGGTTGCCTGTACCCCTGGAAACTCACTGGCTTTTGCGTCAGCATATACCAAGAAATTAAGAACATGTCTTTTCAAGCTATTCCTGTAAAATGGCAAGGTTATTTCTCAGAACCAGCTGGTTCTCAGAACAGTCTTGGTACAGTAGACCCTTTATAATAATAAAAAAAATGCTTAGGGCTGCTGAAGTGTTCATGGTTCTTATTTTGAGCAATCTTAATAAATACTGCTCCTAAAGACAAAAATGATGTACTCCACTTATTGAATTTCTAGTGTTCAAGTGAGTTGCTAAACATTTAAGATCATTTGCAATGCTGTATGCTTTACTACTTTTCTCCTTAATTTACAAGTTTTCAAAAGGAACATTTTTCAGTCTCACTGGGTATGACCCAGACCAGACAAAAAACACTTATAGTAAAATGTATGTATTTAATTTGTGGCAGCAACAGGATAAGTTGTGCTTGGCACTGTATAAAGCACACATGTTTTAGAACAGCTTTGGATATTACTTTTGCAAACACAATGCCCACCATAACTGGCTGGTGAAATTCTGTCTTTGCCAGACACTTTGAATACTGAAGCGAGATTAAGGCATACAAAACTGTTCACAAGGAGAGAGTCAATGTCTATTCATTTTAAAGTACTAGACCTGGGCGAGCAATTATTTTGGGCAGAGGGCCTAAGTTTTGGCAAGCCATTGAGGGCTGCATGACAGGCAGCCCAGGGCAGATAAATATTAATTTTCTACATTTTTTAGGGACCCCGCAGGCTGGATGGAATGGCCTGGTGGGCCGCATTTTGCCCACCCCTGTACTACACCATACTACAAAAAAGAAAAAACAAAAAGAAAGAGAAAAAAGGCGTATTTGAGAACCATTTTTTAAAGTGTTCTGTAAACACCAGAATGGCAGTACAGGATGTTTTGAGGCCCGTTCACTAGCAGAATAGTCTAGTTCCCATACCACTGCTGATGACAACAAACGTCTGCTATGCAGAAGTTAGGTACTTTCTTCAGCAGTGATCTTCAATCATGGTGACACAGCACCCTGGCATGCCTTGAAATCTTTTCAAGGGTGCTGCAGGTACCACTCAGTGTTTGCATTATTTAGGTGTGCAAACATGATTTACAAAATAAATTCAGAGATTTCAAATAAAAAATTATCATTTTAAGAACATTTTGAACTGTCGTGGGATTCCCCTGAACCAGCAATATGGTGTAATAGGATCCCAAGCAAAATGCAACAATTGCACTTCCTACCATGTAGCTATGGCATGGCAAAAAGAAAAATTGTTGTGATCCCACATCAGATTCTATCACATCTTCACCTGAATGTCTGACAGAGCCTAACTTGAAATTCTTCCTACACTTTTGCATTATCACTTTGTCCCAACACTGCTAGCTAGCAAAAACCATAAGCGATGCTCCTGTAAACAAAGCTTTCCTAGACACTTCTGCAGAAGTAACCATTTGATATTATCCCCCTACCTCCAAGCCACAAAAGTCAAATCCATCCAACCTGTACAACTCCCAAATGGAACGTGTATCCTATTTGCACTGACAATCAAGATCATGGCATTCAGCAGTGGGTATTCCATCCTTTTTGACTACAGCTCAAATCTGGCATTTACAAAATTAACGGACACAAAGAAAGAAGTCACAGGAGTTTGTTAGCTTGCCCTTTTTCAAACCCAGAAAACTTGTAAAGTCTACTAGACAATCCATGTTGCATAAAGGGGGAGCATAATACTAAACAGTAACACTGCACCATGAAAATTTACCCCAAACTGTTATCATAATTTGAAAAAGCAGAGATGTATAGATGCACTGTTAACAAGGAAAGCAGCTAAAGCGGGCATGAGAAAGCGATGTTAGTTGACATGCTTCACTCAGAGTTAAATTGCTTCATTTAGAGCAACTTAGATCAACACCTGAGGTTGCATCTACAGGGTAGGTGTCAAGAAGTTTCATGACTTCTGAGCAGTGATATAACACTCACAGAAGTGAGTCCCAGGTGACATACATATGGTACCACAACCCAGACTAGTTCAGTATGGGTTCACGACCCAAACTAGAAGCCACCAGAACAGATCAAGCAAAAGAAATACTAAAATCAGCCTTAGTGAAGGCTTAAAGGATTTAAATCCCCCAAAATCCATTTTGAGTCTTTTTTCAGAAGGTAAGCATAGAATCCACTCAAAAACATTCTAGCTATTTTATTTATTTATTTTTTACAAATAAACAACAAAACCTTGTCAATGTAATAACTACTAGAGATCAGCATGAAAGATAACACACTGATATCACTGCTTTTGAAATCTGTCAGCCAGGCTGGAATTTCTAAAATACCTGTTCATCTGTTCTAGTAGAAAGAATTTTTGTTACTTGAAATATATTTTCTATGTTTATCTTCAAACTAGCTTCATATGTTCTTCCAAAGCTGACTGTATCTGATCTCCCTTATTGCAATAAAAAGATTTTGAAAAAACTTTTATTTCCCAAAAGCCTTGGCAGTCTAATTTTAATAAATGCCCTTCAAAATGAATGGCAAATGTACAAAGCTAAAGCTTCAAGACTGCAAACTTCACTAAGCCATGAAGTGGGGCATATTCGGAACAAGTAAGGCTTTCAAGTCTTTTTTTTTTTTTTAATGGATCCCAGGTATTAATGCACAAGCTATCTAATATACAATAAGTTTGTGTTATCAACCATTTTTCCAGCAGCAGTTCTGGAGCCACTCAGCAAGTAAGCCTTTAACCACTTTAACATAATTTTCTAACCAGTTTTCAGCTGGTTAAATTTTCTCTGTTGAACTGTCTTAAACCCTCAAAAAGTGTATTACAGAACTTTACACATGTTGGTGTCATGAAAAGAGATCTCCCTGCCCCTTCAGGGGGGAAGGGGAAAGCTCTTCCTCAGGACTTCCCCAACTAGAAACCTTATTAGAATAGAAGCCTCCCCACTCCTGAGAAGACCCCCTGCAGCCAGCCCCAATGCAGCTTCACAAGGGGCAAACCTCTGGCTTCAAGACCCTGGCTCTTCTCAGTTCTTGCCTTCCATTGTGATCTGCAGCACCCCCACCTCTGGGGGCTCCTTTTCTGGTCAGCTTCTGGGCAGGAGGGAGGGTATTTTCTTCTTTTAAAAAGAGGTTTATCAGAGCGCTAGTGTCCCAAAACAGCCAATCTTTATTGTGCCGTTCCAGTTGCCTCTGTCTGCCCTGGAACCATCTCTGTCCCGTTCCCGTAGAGTTTTACTCATTTCTCCTCGGGATCAATCAGCCACACTAACAACAAAACAGTTACAAAGCTATAGTCTTAACTTCGGGGCAACACTCACCCAATATAATGAAACGTTATGTTCTGGGGAACAGGAATGCTAATGGTTAAAATGACAATTAAATTTATACTGCTTACTGTTTAGTGACTGCCAGCAGAAATAGCCCTGGCCCCTTATGTCTTCACCATGCTCCTGGCCCTGCGTCAGGGCCACTGGCGGGGAGACACGGATGCAGCCAAGACACTAGGGGCACTGCCCAGCTGCAGAGCCACAACTTCCCCTTGCCCCCACAGGCAGAGGCTGGGGCTGAAAATGGAGCCAGAGCTGCAGATCTTTCCTGTGCATGGATCCTGCCACCACTGGGAAGGAGGGAGAAATGTGCCAGGCCCCCCACAGGGATCAAGCAGTCTTCCCACTGCAGCAGTGAGACTCTTGGCCGTATGGTGGGTCTGCCCGGCCCCCCTGCAGTAGCAGGGCCTGGTCAAGGCAATGGGCTACGTGCGTCTCCTGCCAGCTGCTGGGCCCTCCCCAGATCACC